GTTGCAGTTTTTGGCTGGGGCTGGGTTTGAACCCACCACCTCTGGTATATGGGGCTGGTGCCCTACTCCTTGAGCCACAGGTGCCGCCCTGTATAATTTTTTTTAAGAGAGTAAACTTTAAGCAAAAGAACAAAATTGCGGAAAAACATAGCAAGTATTTTTCTGCTCTTTGTAGTTTCACAATAAACTTTTTTGTCTTTATCGGAACTTTGCAGAGTATGTGCATTCTTAATATGAGGAGAGATCATACGTAGAAAAGTAACATCACCTACCGCACAGTATAGAGAGAGCCAAAGTCATGAGTGGGGAACCAAAATCCTGTAAGAAGGCTTACAGTCCCTCCTAGCCTATGTTTGCAAACGGCCTAACAAACTTGACCATGACTTGGCAAAATTGGTCAATGAGAACTTGTTTGAGTTAGGCAGTCAGCTCAGCTGTGCACTGCACCGTGGACGCAGCAGCCAGGCTGTAGGGGCCACACTGATAGATTTTGCCATGTTGTTTTTTTTTTTTTGGTTTGCATGCAGAGAATAAATGGTCTTCATGTCTTTATAGGTGAGCCAGACTTCCTTTATGTAAAATATCTTAGCCAATAATATGCAAATAGGCTTCCTGATTTAAATGTGTGTTTGCCTACAGGGATTGTACACATTATTTTGGAATTCTTGAGAGCAGAGGAGCAACGGTGATAGCCAAAGTCCTTAACAACCACTCACTCAGAGCGGACATAGAAGGTGCCACAATAATTTGGACCCAAACTAGAGTTTTTTCTTGCTCTTCTCAAATGTTCTGTAAGTACTTGGATCATCCACACAACTGCCCAGCTCTGATCAGGAAAGGACACAGAGCAGATATTTTAAAATGTCATCCACAGATGCTCTGGGCCCACCTGGAAGGCACAATATATTTTTTCTCTGCAACAAAAGATCAAAAAGAAAAGAAAGGGGAGAAAATAAGCAATAATGGTTTAGTACCTTACACTTTTATTTGGCTTCCTTAGTCGAAACGACAGTATTAGGAAGAGGAGAGGAAATTGCTTAATACCATTATGAGCTAGTACAAATGTTTCTTCGCTAAATTTCTCAAGAAGATTTCCAACAAATTGCCTGGACATGATCAGCAAATCCTAAATCCCTCACTGCTCTGTGGTTGGGTACAGCCCTTGGTCATCAGAACTATCTGTGTTCATGGGACCTCTAGTGGATCTGGCCAGGATGCCCTGACTGTGTTATCATTCTGGCTCCCAGCCTTTGTCCTTAGTTCTGGGTTTAAGCACACAAACAAATACTGTGTAATTTCATCATAAACACTTCAGGATTGTCGCACCATTTACTGAGGGCATTTTCCCTTCTACTGAGAAAGTCTGTTTGAAAGTTAGACTTTGAGAAACCTTTACTGAATTCAAATGGGCACAGATCCTGGTGTAAAATAAACAACTCTGCTTTGCTCAGAAACATCTATTAGACCAAGAGAAAGATAGATTTTTAAGACTCAATCATGGTGTATTCTATCATGTTTTTTACTCTGGGAACAAAAAGCATTTACAGCCTACTATTTGAAATGAAAATAACTATTTTTGCTTCTTCTATAGCTTTTTTTTCCTGTAAAGTACAGTGACCAAGGATAGACAATAATGACCACCGTGCTGACTTCAAGTAAGACTGGTTTTGCAATTTTTAATTAAGCAATCTGTGCAAACATTTTTTTTTTTCTCTCTTTAACATTAGGAGGAAAGAAAATGATCACACTTGGGGGCCCGGTGGAAAAACAGAAAATGCTTTCTCTTTTCAACCAGATTTGAAAGCAGCGGAGGGCAGAGAAGCAGAGCCAGGCCCTCAGAATTCCTCAGGATTGCTTGAGTGCAAGTCTCGCAAATACGAATCAATTATGTTTGGAGGCACACCTTGTAAGAGGAGCCTGCAGAAGGAGAGCCCACCTGGAGAGGACACAGAGGAAAAGGGCAAAGTTAAAACCATCACCGTGAAAAATCTCTGCAAAACACTTCTTGACTAGCTGCCTGAATATGTGACTAATTCTGTTCCTGTTAGTTACAAAGATTCATTCAGTCCCTGCTTGGCAATCGTTCCTGTTTTTAGTACATTTAGAATTTAAAGCACTTGGCCTCTAGAAGGAAAAGCAAGTTCCCAGCAGAGCCATGGCAGTTTTTTTTCCCTCTACTCTTATTCAATCTTGGTTTAAATTCTCAAATAGTGAGACCGTATTTTTTGCTCTTTGAGGGATTTTGTGATTCCTCAGAGATGATTTAAATTAAATGACTAAATGGCACGATAAATGCAAACCAATGGATCGGTGGAAGATCTCTCTCTCTAGTTTGTTCATGTGCTTTTTAATTAAGCACAGAGCATTCTTATTCAAGCATGTTGGAAAAGAAAATAATAAACTAATCCCTTTCACTTTGGCCACTTATACCTTGTCACATGGGCAAATATTAAAAATATGTTTTTAAAAATGGTAAGACTGGTCCATTATCTTCTGAAGATGAGAGGGACACCTGCTCGTGTTTCATACCTACCGTCTGAGTTTCTGAATTATTATTTAAAAAATAAAAGTACCCTTTAAGAGAGAGCCCACGACAGCCCTTCCTTTAGTGAAGCACTTTCACTACTTGCTACTAAATTCATGTCCAGACAAAAGGCATGCCACTTAAGCATTCTTAAAACTCCTTCAATGCACATTTGAGAAAGTCATTCTCCTTAGATTTAAAAAAACAAAACAAAACAAAACAAAAAACCAACTCAAGTCACATATTGGTAGAAATGATGCCATTTATCTACATGTCCATTCCTTGATGCAAAGAATCCAGAATGCTTGGGTATCACTCATTTTCATCTACATTAAATGCTTTGATTCATGCTCTAGCACATTCTGATAACCTGCTTCATGTCAACAGGAGATTGCTGGGTTAAGTACTGGCTGTTAATGTCAAGATACTGAAATACAGGTGACAACTACAAAGTTAGTCCTCAAGAGTCTATTTTCATTGGATTATGTAATGAAAATCATGCCATACTCCACAGGCTTGGGATGGCTTATGATAGTCATAAGCTTCATATGCCAGAAACCATATGAAAGCTTACCTTGGGTGACAATATACATTCAAACATCCTTACTGTGCTACAACTAAGGAGAAGAGAGAAAGAGAGAGAGAGAGAAGTTGTAAGCATTAATGAAGTGCTAACACCAAAGTCGAGTATTTGTTGGATGAAGTTATTGTCACGATTATGATGAGGTGGTGTCATTAATCCTTAGTCTTGTGAAAGATGGAGGAAAATAAGAGCACATGAAATGAAGGGCGGGGATCCAGTCAGTTCAAAAAGATCATTAATATGTAAAACATTTATTAATAGGCACGACTACTTCGCCTGGATTGGTGACAAAGCCAATCTGATTGAATAGTGAATGTTTATGATCAGAGCTTCCAAACCATTAGCTTAAAAAACAGAACCCTACAACATATATATATCGTGTTTTTCAACAAAAGAAAAACACTGACAACAGACAAGGCGTTAGTGCACATATATATATGTTGAAATTCTAAAAGGCAAAATTATCAAGTATGAATATTAGACTACTGTATTCTATAATATCATATTCTGAAGTCAATATATATGACTGATCTAAAAAAAATCCATAAGGGCTGAAACTTAGGCTACAGAGCTACACAATACGTCCTACAGTCTATAAAACTTTAAGGAAAGAACCCTCCTTATTTCCTTCCTCTTTTGAAAGCTGACATTGTCTCTGGAAATTCAGAAAGCAAAAACTGTAAACTCAGGCATAGCTCTACACCGTAGAGTTTACATCAGGGCGCCTAACCAGCCCAAGGAACTCTTCATTTGCTCCCCCAAGTGGGGGTGTGGGGGTGACTGCTACGTCTATGATAGTCCTTATTTGTTGCTTAATATATTTTGCAGTGGGGCCTAGAATTTTCTCTCTTTTTAAGTTCATAAACATATGAAATAATTTGGGTCCCCATGAAAATGTCCAAACATCTAATAAAAAAAAATGAGTTACAGATATTCTACTAGTAAATTTGTAATCGGAACATCTTAAATACGATGTTTTCAAATGTCAGAGCTATTCTTGACGCCTCCCTCCAATCAAAAATGCCCAGAACACTTTTTTTCTATAACTTCGCAAGCTTAAAATATTCAGGTCTCTGAATTTCACCATGAATCTAAGGAAGCTGTAAACTATATTTTAAAGGAAGAACATACCTTTCCACATTTTTTAAAAAATGAAAATTTTAGGTGGGGAGCAGTGGCTCACGCCTGTCATCCTAGCACTCTGGGAGGCTGAGGCGGGTGGATCGCTTGAGCTCACGAGTTCAAGACCAGGCTGAGCAAGAGCAAGACCCTGTCTCTAAAAAACAGCTGAGTATTGTGGCAGGTGCCTGTAGTCCCAGCTATTGGGGGGACTGAGGCAAGGGAATCACTTGAGCCCAAGAGTTTGAGGTTGCTGTGAGCTATGACGCCATGGTACTCTACCCAGGGTGACAAAGTGAGATTCTGTCTTATTAAAAATATATATATATATTAAAGAAATATTATTGATTCCCAAGTTGTGATAGTCATAATATAAAATAAGATCACCTTCAAATGAAGCTTTCTGGCTTTACTTATGGGGACATATGATACAATACTTAGTCTGCTGACCAAACTTAGTTTCTGCATTACTTAATATCCTTGAATAATTTGGCCTTCCTTGTTCATGGCATAAACAGTATATGCCATGAACTGCTAAGAAATACAATGAAAAGCAAAGGAGAAAGTCAAGCTTTACATGCAAAGTGCATTTTCATGTAAGAGGAATGGAACAGGAAAATATAAATATCCAGTGGGATATGAACTTTTTAAACCTGTTGCTGCCCCTTCTGGAAGACTGGTTGTCCAGGGGTATTTAGTCCTTGATATATCACTGCAGAATTAGAATATTTGTACCGGTATTTATTTATTCTCAGTTGATATTCTTACCTTTTTTCTTTCACAGCTTAACTTGATTCAAGTTACCTATTACCAGATAACAATCTGATGATAAACAATTTCAGCTTTACATTTAGGACCAAAAGCTTTTGTCAGTTATATCATAGTTGATGCCTTACTTTGAACTTACGTACTAGAATACATTACTCTTAATATGAAATTCAATTGCTATACAACGCACTATACAATGACTATAAAGACTATCTCGTGTCTATGTATAACATTACTCGTTGCCCCAAATCTTAAGCCATTTATGAAAACATCATTTGGTATCATTAACAACATTCAACTTTCAAAGCATGAATAGATGGCACTGGTTTTATTCTTTTGTTTGGGGGGAATGTTGAAATATACATATCAAGAATATCTTAGAACTAATAATTATGGTTAGTAGTTTAGAAACAAGATGATTTGTAACCGTGATCTTATTCATCATTTAAAGCGAATAAAGCAGTTAAAAATAAAGTTTACATTTATAAGGACCACCTCAAGAACCATGTTTTAAATTTCCTAAGAATATCACAGGCTTTGTATTTGTGGGAAAAAAAATACATTTTTCTTTTTTAATTATGAATCTTAGGAGGAAAAAATACTGCTTAAAAAAGTTATAAAAGAAAGTTATCTTGTTCCAGAAGTTTCTCTAGCATATTTATACTAGATTTAGGACTAAGAGATTCTTTTCTGAAAAACATAAATCCCCCCAAACATTTGCTATGGTTTTCTCAAAGAGATATTTACAAAGTCATCTTTCTGACTGTCAGGCCATAATTTCTTCATTATAGAATGGTGAATAGAAAAAATAAAAGACTTTGGTTATCACAGAATGACAATGTAACAGTTGAGAATGAAAGAAAACACATTAGGATCATGTCTCAAAGGGTCCCAGTGGTGACTCTTTGTTTTAAGGGGTTTTCATTGTGTCCCAAAGTAGGTTCTGCTTACAAAGAAAAAACTTCAGTACGATAATGATAATCAGTTAACATGAAAATTGATTAAGGTAGCAGCTTATGCTGAGACTTTTCTGCCACATAAATCCTTATGTGTTTTCTTGGTTTACACTAGTCATCACACTTCTGAAAACTGGTATAAAGGAAATGTATACCTGTAAATCAAAACTCTCTAATTAGAGATTTTTTCTTTAAATCTAGTTTTACTATGCCTATGCTATATTCTACGGGGGTACTATCAGACACTTGGTTAGCAAACCTATATAAATTTAAGAAATTTCACAAAATGGTAAACTAATTAAAAATAATGTGAACTCGTCCAGTGCAGTCTCACTAGCTGAAGTTTTTACACTAGGCTTCCATTTATGGATGGCCTCTGTCACCAAAGTGATAGCCCCTCTACTTTATTCATTCTTGCCCTCTGTACACATACTAGCATTCCACTAAAATTAATATTCCTTAAGTTAACAAGAATCACAAGGTATAAAACTGAGTTGACTTAAACAACTAAATGAGCTTCCACAGACAGAATGAACTCAGAATGTAAAAATGTCTCCTCTCCCTGAATTCCCTCTCTGCTTCTCTGGCCCCCACCCTCACCCCCTGCACCAGCTGCAGCATTTTGGCAAACGATTTGGATTTTGCATTAAGCACAGTAAATAAACGATTTTCTTTAACTTCAGTCCATAAATGAGACCTTGGCTGTCATACCTTTCACCTCCAGTTTGCATTCTATCTCCACTGTCCCAAGCTCATTGACGGCTTTGCAGCAGTAAGTGCCCCCATCATAGGGGCTGGGCTTGCGAATCTCCAGAGTACAGACCCCCTGGTTGCTGAACATCCTGTATCTTGGGTCATCCACAATGGCAACTTTGTTTTTCATCCAGGTTATTTTAGGCTGAAGTGAAGATGGAAGAAAGTGAGGTCAAAACATCTCTGTACCTAGCATACTAATAGACTGTGCAAGCCAGTGACAGGATTCTAAAGCAGGGCTTAAAAAGAAAGCATGACTAAGAAGATGCCGCTTGAACCCTGTTCCTCTCAAACTGAATTCTACTTAGTGCTTGTCAGAAAAGCAAATGGGCAGTTCTGAAGAAGAAAGCCAGGTTTGTTCAAAGAATAGTTCTAGGGCAATCTCCCAAATGGATTCAGTTGCATTTCAATCTGATGTACATAGGAACAATCTTGAGTCATAAAATAAAGTTCTGGGCATCTACTGGACAGCATGGGTGGAGATAGGTGTATTAAGTTGATTGTGATAATCATTATACAATGTATACATATCTCAAATGATCACACTATATCTTGAATGTATACAACCTTTTTTTTTTTGAGACAGAGTCGCACAGTATTGTCCCAGGCTAGATTGCCATGGTGTTGATGCAGGTCCCTTTCACCTAGGGCTGAACATGGACCCTGTTCTCTAGGACTAAGCAGTCTCATAAATGAGTCTGAATAATGTTTCATCTCAGCTGCCATTCCCCAGGAAGAGGGGAAGGAGTGGGAGGAGTAGGAGGAGTGGAAACGCCGTAAATGACACCACATTCCTACACAATGGCAGTTTGAAAAATGAACTTCTGCCCACAGGCCTGTAGCACCAATGGTTGTGACATATTTTAGACATACATTCTATCTCCTCAAACCCCTACACATGCAGGGAAAGAGAATCTAGCTGCATATAACCCCCTAGACAGAGAGCCCAAAACCCTAACCCACTTGGGACCTGCGCTGATGTGCTGGAGGCTTTGTTTTTTCACTTCTCTTATCTGTCAATAAAATCTATCCTGTTGCTTACTTGTGGTGGTCCGTGAATTCATTCTTTGCTTTCCTGAGGCCAGGGACCCAGCAGAGAAATTCCAATAATGGTGTCAGCCTAGCTCATAGCAACCTCTAACACTTGGGCTCAAGCGATCCTCCTGCCTCAGCCTCCCAAGTAGCTGGGACTCCAGGCAACTGCACAACACCCAGGTAACTTTTTCTATTTTTAGTAGAGGCAGGGTCTTGCTCTTGATTGGAGTAGTATTGAACTCCTGAGCTCAAGAGATCCTCCCTCTTCAGCCTCCCAGAGTGCTCGGTTTATAGGTATGAGGCAATCTTTATTCACCAATTAAATATTTTCTAATTACAAATTTAATCTATAGCTCCATAATGTTAACCCATCCTCGAGAGTGTATATTTGCTGGGCATTTTTTAAATCCCCATGAGGTATCATGACCATCAGATTTTCTCCACCTCCTTTTCCTGATATTCTTTTCTAATTCTTTGTGAGTTGCATCACTAATCTCCCCTCTGACATCTGTATTCATCACCCAGTGGCAATGGATCTACTCCAACCAGATAGTGGAAGATCAGTAACAACCCAATCGTCCAGGAAGGGGACTCCTTTCTCCTTGACCTCTGAACTACCTTGATAGCACTGACCTTCCACTCCCTTCTCATACTGTCTTCCCCTTACGTTTGTTCTTTTGTAAATACACCCTCTCCACATTCTCTCTCTGCCACCTCTTCTATTATTGCATCTTGCTCAGAACCCAGAGAGGATGCCTTTTCTGTCTCTTTCATATACGCCACTTCCTCCTGCCTCTCCAGTGGGATCATTCACTGAGACTGACACCTTGGTCCTTGGCATTTCACCCACGACCCTCTTTCTTCAATGACATTCCTTTCTAGAGCTTTGGCAAGGGCTAGAACGTAGCATCTGCATGTCTGGGGCCCCAAACTGAGAGCAACAGCCCTGGCCTTTCTCCTAAGCTGCTTGAGACAAATCTCTTCATCTGATGGCTTTTCAACCCCTTTGCCCCGTGGATGTACCAACATCATGTCCAATTAAACATTCATTCAGCCTCTTTCTCCCATCCTCAGTCTAGCTCCTTCTGTTGACTTCCCTATTTATGTTCAAGGTATATACAGGAAAAATACCTCCAAATTCTATGGCATTTTCCTCAGTGCCTCCTGGGGACATAGATCTCCATAGGCAACACCCATTAATTCAGTTCTTATCAAGTGCAAACAAGAAACCTTAAAGCCTTTCCAAATCTCTTCAATCAGATGTGGTATCTCCCTTCTTAGCCCCCTGTGCGCCCTTATCAAAGCACATTTTATATTCTGTCTTCCATTATAGTAGAATTGTTATTTACTTTAATTTCCCACAGAACTGCCAATAAATCAACACTACTTTCTTCCCCTGACCTCTCAGTTCTTTTTAAAATCAGCAGTTTTATTTTTCTTTAGATGGTATTCCTTAGTGAAGAAATAGAGTGGAACCCCCATAGTTGACCACCTCTTTAGAATGCCCTAATTTTCATAGACTGGATGTGCGCCACATGTATGTACCAATATGGCAGGTCTAGTTCCTTGTGTTGACCAACTCTGTATGTTGACCAGTTTGTTACAGTCCCTTGGGTGGTCAACCTAACAGAGGCTCTACTACAGAAGCATAGTTTACTACTACATTCGAATAGAGTACCTAATTGTCCAACATCCTCTACTCCCCCTTATCCTGGAAATACAGAAAAAGCAGCTGGAAGGTCCATTTATACTATTTCTTACAATTGCAACATAGAAAATATAAAAATGTAAATTCAACTGATGTGATGGCAGAGCAGGGTACCTTAGGGTTTCCTCGCACACTGCAGTTCAGGGTGGCGTTGTAGCCAGCTATAGCATAGGTGTTAACCAAAGGCTGGGTAAACATGGGTGCCTCTGTAAAATCAAAGTCTTCATACACCGGATTTTTGTAGACTTTACCTTTAAAAAAGACCCATGAAAAATATGTTAAAAACATGAAAATTGGCCTGACAATATATTATTCTGGGCATGCTTTACTAATGATTAAAACTTCCCTGAGTTTGGAAAACATGTAAAAACATAAGTGAACACCACACAGGATATATTCTGAGGGGGACAAATGTATAGCCTGGGACTGAAAGTCAGCATGGTCATCTGAAATGAAAACAAACTGAGAATACTTTTGTGTTTTTCTGAATATTCTGAACAGACATTCATTCTAATGTGAAATTCAGAAGGACTGGCTTTAAGGAGAAGAAGGATGTATGATGAAATGGCAGGATAAGGATAGAGTCCAGTCTCCCCTTTCCCTGCAGAGTGGGTCCCATGTGTTGCTACACTGAAGGTGTCCAAGAATAAGTGGTAGAAGCTGTAAGTGTTTTTTTCCCATCCCTATGATTTTAGCCATTTATAGATCCACTGCCTAGAAGCCGAAATGAATTAAAGCTGTCTTTGAAAAAAAAGCAGTAATAATAAAATTTCACTTAAGAACTTGTATCTGTAAAATTAAAATTTTATGTGAACATTGTTACCATCACTTTACATTTTGCATTCTGTGCATTTACCATTTTTTTATTCCCTCTCATCACAGCTTTTCTTCTTTTGGTCTTCCTCTGTCTAGTCACTGTCAATCAGAGTTTCCACTCACCGTCCTTGGCAATCACGGCGCTCTCTTTAGTCATCGTCGCATCCTCACTGAGGCCGCACATGTTTTCAGCAAAGACCCGGAAATAATATTCATTCCCAATGACCAGTTCAGTGATGGTGGCATTGGTTCGGTGATAATGCTCAATTACGGTGAACCATTCCTAAGAAGGAAAAAATAATCATAATTTCACCTAACCATACACAACTCTTCCAACTGTTGATTAGAATAAAAAACAGGGATGCTTCATTAATAAAAAGAAAAAAAAATCCACTAGTTTGCTTTTTTTTTTTTT